TGCGCAGTTCCCAAAGGTCTTCACCCTGTGTTGAGACAGTCATATGCATACGGTTTGGGGCTAGAGTGGCAGCTGCAAGGAAAACAGGATTGCAGCTGGGACCGAAGTGGCATGGCATAGGAAGAGCGTAACCCCTGGGGAGACAGGGTGCCAACCTGCGGCTGCAGGAACAGGTGACAATGGGCGGGCTTCCCATCACGTCCTGCACGACCAATCGCTTGCACATAGCTCTCAAAGTTTGGAGGCAGTCCCAAGTGTAGCACAGCCCGAACATCTGACCGGTCCAGCCCCATCCCAAAGGCTACTGTGGCCACTACCACTCGCAGGTGGCCCTGCATGAAGGCCTGTTGCACTCGTCGCCGTTCCTGGCTGCACATGCCAGCATGGTATGCTTCAGCTACAGCCTCGGGGCCGCAACCTTTAGAGAAGGTGCACAAATGGTTGATGGAACTGAGCAGGCATGCAGAAGAAAGGGTCCCTGGGGGCCCAACCCTATACATGCCCACCTCTGGGCCTTGGATCTCCCACCGTGGACAGGCAGGTCCGGAGGAGTGCAGCCACCCGCTCTGTATCCTTCTGTCGATGGCAGTAAACGATAATAGAGTCCAGGGTACGAAAACGGTCACCCTGCAGCAGTGTCACCAGAGCCTAGCAATAAAGAGCGATTAACATGGCGGGTCGTGGGCGTCTGCTGGGGCCCCTGGGATGCACATAACTACCTGGTCTGAATCTCGGTCCATGGACACAGAGAGGTGCAGATTGGCAGGGATGGAGGCCAACCCACTGAGCTCAGGCTCTTCTGCTATGCCCAGGTGCTGGGCCACGTCACGTGCAGTGCTCCGTGTGGCCGTGGCTGTGAGACCCAGAAAGCAGCGCACACCCATCCGCTCCCGAAGGACCTGAACCAGGGACAGTGCTGAGTCACTTAGCCCACCTGGGTCCCAGTCCACCTCCACCCTGACCCCAACAAAAGCTCACTTTGCAAACACGCAGGTAGCAGGGCCGGAAGTTGTGTGACCACTGAGACAGGCAGTGGACCTCGTCAATGCAGGCGAAGGCAACTGGAGGCAGCTGAGAGGCGTCGGGGAGGCTGACAGGGCCCTTAGCCCCACACCTGACCAAGGCCTCAGGGGACACAATCAGCACCTGCACCTGGGCTGCCTTTACCTGAAGGGAAGAGGGCTATGGGCACTGCCCAGAGGGATGCCCACTACCACCCATCCATGGGGCCCTCCTGACCTTTTTCAAGACAGATTCTCGCTGTTTCTTGGTCATACCTGAGTGGAGGCAGGCTGCCTTCAGACATGGAGGCAGGTCAGACACCTGTGAATGCAATGCTGTCACAGTCCAGCACAGCTCAGTCTCTGCCCCTACTCAACCCTCTGGAAGGAAAAGCATCAGATGCTGGGTCCTGGGAGAAAAGTTCAGAGCTGGCCACCTATGGACCTGCACACCCTGGAGGTAAGGAACTAGGTGAGAACATTGGGCACTAGGCTGTGCTACCCTTAGGAAGGTCGGCTGGCCTCTGGTGTGTTCAGGAAACGAGAAGCATCCAATGGCACCAGAGGTGTCAGTTTGCAGACTTTCCAGGTACTAAGCCTATCCAATACCTGGTCATCCATGAGTGACAGGAGAGGAGAGACCACCAGTGTGAGGCAGGGGCTTCGCTGGGCATACAGCAGTGCAGGAAGCTGGTAGCACAGAGACTTGCCAGCACCCGTGGGCAACACCAACAGAGTGGAGATGCCTGGATAGGACAAGAGGCAGCTGTAAGGCTCAACTTGCCAGACACAGCTTGGTGCAATTCTAGAGAGTCACACCTACCCGAAAGAATCCGCCTGACTGCACGTTCCTGACCAGGGCGGAAGGCTTGGTGCCCTAGCTGCTGTAGGGCCTGGAATACCTCAGCAGGGGTTTCTGTGGACACAGATGTGGTGGTTTGAATGAGAATGGCCCCTACAGACCCCCATAGGCTCATGTATTTGCATGCTTAGTTCCTATCTGGTGAACCATTTGGGAAGAATTAGGAGGTGTGGCCTTGTTAGAAAAAGTGTGTCAGCTGGGCGGTGGTGGCGCACGCCTTTAATCCCAGCACTAGACAGGCAGATCTCTGTGAGTTCGAGGCCAGCCTGGCCTACAAGAGCTAGTTCCAGGACAGGTCCCAAAGCTACAGAGAAACCCTGTCTCGAGAAAACAAAAACAAAAACAAAAGTGTGTCACTGGGGGGTTGGCTTTGAGTATTTCAACAGTCCAGGCGAGGTAAAGTGTCTCTGTCTCTGTCTGTCTCTCTGCCGGCCGATCAGGATGCAAAGCTCTCGCCACTTCTCCAGCACAATGTCTGCCTTTCTGCTTCCCACCAAGATAACAGACTAAGCTGCTGAGATGGTAAGCACGTCCCAGTTCAATGCTTCCTTTTCTAAGAGCTGCCTTGGTCACGGTGTCTCTTCACAGCAATAGAACAGCGACCGAGATATGTGTCGGGAAAGACTCTGAACCATTAAATTTCACTCACCTGCTACCTGCCCCAGGAGCCCTGGGGGATAGAGGGGCAACACTGGGCAGGGAGGACAGGGCATCTGTAGCTTTAGCCCATCGGGTTCTGTGTCCTGACCTGCTTGGATAGGCAAGAGGGTGATGTGGGGGCACTAGAATCCACAGACCACCCTGGCCCAATGGCCTCTGGTCACATCCACCCAACCCCCTCACTTACCAGAGAGGGGGCGGGAAGGAGAGGCTGTCCTCTGTGCTACTTCTTCCAAAGCAGAATCGGGCTGTTTGTCTTCCCTGCCACCTTCCTCCTGGAAGGTCAGGGTGGAGCCTGGAAGAGTTAAGAGCTGGCGGAACCTTCTGTTTGCACAAGTACTTCTCTAGTCGCCCTTCCCAACAGTTAAATGACCCAGCACTCATGGCAGAGGTTTACCTGGCTGGGAGCACTGCGATGCCCAGTGCCCAGACTGCCCGCACCGGAAACAAGTGTCCTTCGCTGTGGCTCTGGGTCCACTTCCCCCAAACTGCTCCCTTTTCTTCTTCCACTTTTGCTTCCATACCTGGGGAAGCCCATAGGGATTACTCAAGAGGGAGGTGGGAGGCGAGGAAAGGCCGGCCTGCTCCATTCAGCACGTCTCACCTGCTTCCGGAGAAGCCTGCCTCGACTGGCCCCAACTCGCACATAGCACTTCTGTTTCATGTTGAGTCGAACGTAGTTCCCCCTGTCCAGGGAAGCTGGTCGAGGGGAGATGTGGATGCGGGCAGTGCCCTTGGCCTTCTCTGTCTTGGCCTGCTTTGAGGAGCAGGGCTGAGGAGCGTTCACTTGTGCAGGTTCTCCTGGAGGCTCTTTCTCGTGTGCTGTAGTCCTGGCTCCCTCAGATAGCTGTCCTGCTGGGCTGCTGTCCTGGGCTTGTGCAAAGTCCTCAGAATCCTTACTCCATTTCCTGTCTTCATCGTTGCTGGGTGTGGGGCTCGGAGGCTGTAGGGCCAGGGCATTGGGGCTCTGTGACTTTTTTTCTGAATGAATACCAGGATCAAGGACATTTGCCTTGCCTGACTTCTGAGGTTGTGACTCCTTTGCATCCAGGTCAAGCCCACAGGCATCGGGAACCTCTAGAAGGTCGGAAACTCTGGCATGACACCGCTCTAACCAGCCAGGGTCTAGGGAACTCAGCCGAAGGCTCAGGGATGCCTGAAGCTGTTGGAGCTGGCCTAGCCTTGGCTGGGGCTCAGGAAGTCGGGGAAGTACATCATTGGTTTCATCTGGACAGGTCCTTGGGCCTGGTGGCCTTGGGGTGGTCGCAGTGGACAAAGATCTCTTCTGAGGCTGGAGTTTTCGGCTCAGGGTTGGCCTAGTCTAGGTTGGGGAAGATAGAACAGCAAGTAGGATCTCAGAACCCTGGGCTCTGCAGACGTTTGGGACAGACAAGAAGCTGACAGTGAGGTCCCTGTGAGCACCTTAGGAGCTGAGTCCCACTTACTGCAGAAGCACACATGTGTGTGCGTGAGCATGTGTGTGCGCTGTAAAGAAGGGTGGACGCAGAAGGGCCCTGGCAAACCACCCCAGAGCCAAAGGCAGTTCTGGGTTCACCTCCACTTCTTACCTGTAGCTTTGCGTTTTTCAGATTGGCTTTGAGCCTTTCCCCATAGTCTTGTACTGAACTCAATGGGCCCTGCCTGGGGACAGGCTGTGTATTCTGGGTTGCAGCTCGATTCAAGTGGGGACCCCAGCAGCTTGGCTTCTGTGCCTGCAGCAGACAGTAGCGGACTAGACCACGTTAAAAGGTGATAGGGGCACAGAAGTGCCTCCAAAGCTTCCCCTCAACCCCTCACGGGAGGGCCTGGCCACCAAACTTGTGGGCTCCACAGAGGCATAGCTGCAATAGCTCTTGGCTCCAGCAGTTTGACCATACACAACGTTGACTGGGATCAAGGGCCAGTATACCTCCTCAGCTGCCTCGGCGAGAGACCGCTCTTGGCTGCGGTATCCGTCGCCAGCTTGACGCACTGCATGCTTTAGGTTACGGTACTCACGGTAGAGCGCTGAGAAGGCAGGGGTCGGGGGTCAGGGGTCAGGGGTCACCTACTAACCTTAGCCCCGTCCCAGGCCCGCCAGCCCAGCGCTCACCGCGGGTCTCCTCGGGGGCCGCCTCCACGTCCTCCTGGGAGAGAAGCTCGTCAGCCACAGACTGCGCCTGGGTCCCCACTCACCGCCCTGTCCATGCCCCCAACCCCACCTCACCTGCGCTGGCCGTCTCCCGTGCAGCCGTGCGAAAGCGCGTTCCCACTCCTGCAGCCGCGCGCGAACGCTCGCAAGCCGTTCCATGGCTGTCAGATCCTGCGTCTTGGGAATCTCCCGCCGCCGCTGGGAAGTGTCGTTCTGCGCCAATGGGAGCTGGCGGCGGGCGACGCCAGGCCGGGCGGCCAATTCGCTGAGCCCTGAAGGGGCGGGCCCTACGGTGTTACGTCATCGCTGCGCGCCACTGCTGCGCGGCGCTGGGCGAGGCTAGCGGAGGGGCTGGAGGCCTTGGTGGTGGGGGCGGATGGGCGGATGAGTTGGGGCCGCTGGGCTGGGATCCGAGCCCGGCCAAGAGACTGCAGCTGTAAGGGTCACGGCACTTGGACGGCCGGGCCGACGGGGCCTGGCGCTTGAAGGCCCCGGCTGCAGCGGATTCTCGGGAGGTGCCGCTGCGCGGGGATGGACCCGGGTGAGCCCCGCCAGCGCAGGGCGACCTAGGGACGGGTGAGGATGTTCTGGACCTTCAGGGGCATGCTCGTCCGGGTTAGTTGAGGTTCCGGGCTTGATTCGTGAAGGATCCGGGCGTGCACATCTATGTGTCTCACCTCAGAGACCGCTCTCTCCTGTGTGCGGCATTATGCCCCCAGAAGCAATCTTTGCTTGGAGGCCAGGCCGACTGCTTTTCTCTTATGACAGGTGCTCGATCGGTTTGTCCTCTCAGCGAGTCAGTCCTCGCGAGATTACCCTAAGGTACAGCCAGATCGAGGATAGTCATCCGGGGTTTCCCAGGGACCTGTCTCTTAAGGACTTGTTCGGGGTTCTGCAGCCTTTCTGCTCCCTACCCCTTGTCCCGTGCTATAACTCTGGGCAAGTGTAGGTCTTAGTTTTCCAATCGGTTACAGGGTGAAGGCTGTAATGTGGTTCTGAGGGTAAGGTGACTGTGTGTATCAGGAATCCTTCAACCTCAGGGGTCTTTTGCGTGGAATGCTTTGACGGCCTCTGCCTGGATCTTTTAGAATTCTGTGAATTTAAGACTTGGTGGTTGGTCTCTGTGCAATGATTGCTCAGTGAAGTTGGGATTCCCAAATAGGAGGCAAAGACTACAGACGGTGACAGTTACTTTTCCTCGGGGATTTCTGTGCCTGGTTATATCCTAGAAAACCGTTATCTCTAGCCCGGTGGTGGTGGCGCACGCTTTTAATCCCAGCACTTGGGAGGCAGAGGCAGGTGGATCTCTGTGAGTTCAAGGCCAGCCTGGTCTACAAGAGCTAGTTCCAGGACAGGCACTAAACTTAATGACCTTGATCTCATAGGCTGCACAGCATCTGTGCTCAGGATCCTTTTTGGAAAACTAATCCTGGCACTAGAAGTTGTGCTTAGATTTCCTTAAATCCAGGGACATGCCTGTTGTATTGATGGGAAGAGAGGCCCGGGGTTTATTTTACTTTAAAATATTTACTTTCCCTTAGTTTCGTACGTCTATGTCTGAGTGTATGTGCATGCACCACGTGCATAAGGAGCCCTGTGAGACCAGGAGAGGGCATCCCCATCAGGTCCCTTGGAACTGGAGTTTTAGGTGGCCATGACACACCACGTGGGTTCCGGAAACCAAACCTGGGTCTTTTGCAAGATCAGTAAAATGCTCTTAACCCTTGAGCCATTTCTCTACCCCCAATCTTACAAACAAACGAACAAACACCCAAACCTGTTAAAACTCAAGCATTGGGCCAGCCAGCCAGTCGTCTCTAGGGATCGTCCTGTTTTCTGCTGACTCCAATTCTGGCTGTTTTTACACAGGTTCTGGGATCTGAAGTTTGGTCCTCACTTTTGTTTGGCAAGCATCATACAAAGTTATCCCCCAGTCCCTCCCTCCCTTTTATTTTTGAAGATAGGGTGCTATTGTGTATGGATAAATAGATTAGGTGGACCTTGAACTCACCAAGATCCGCAGGCCTCTTGTTTCCCTTGGTGCTGAAATTGAAGGTGTACAACTAACTCCATGCCTAATAAATGTTTATTTATTTATTGTGGTTTTTCAAAGCAGGTTTCTCTGTAGCTTTGGAGCCTGTCCTGGAACTCACTCTGTAGACCAGGCTGGCCTCGAACTCACAGAGATCTGCCCGTCTCTGCCTCACAAATGCTGGAATTAAAGGGGTGCACCACCACCTCCCACCTTTTTTAATGTGCCTTGGTGTTTGTTTGCATGTATGTCTGTGTGAGGGGCTTGGGTCCCCAGGAACTGGAATTACAGACAGTTGTGAGCTGCCACGTGGGTGCTGGGAATTGAACCCTGGAAGAGCAGCCAGTGCTCTTAACAACTGAGCCATCCCTCCAGTGCCTTATTTCACTCTTGAGGAAGGATTCCTGAGTCACATCTGTGACTTGAGAGACCTAAAGTGTCGATGCTGGGCCCCGCAGAGCAGCAGCTGTTTCCAGAAGACCACACGTGAAAGAGCAGGTTAGTGACAGTGTGCCACTGCTTATGTTCCGCTTGATGGCTCGGTTTCCCCTAGGAACTTACTAGAAATTACCCCTGCCAGGTAGGATGGCACATGCTTGTAATCCCAGAATAGGCAGGAGGATTGCCATAAGTCCAAGTCAATCGTAGGCTACGAACTGAGACCCTGTCTCAAGCCAAACAAAGAAGCATTCCTTCTTGCTCCTCCTTCCATGAAGTCCCAACTCCATGTCAGATAGCGCGATGGGCTTTTGTACCACGGACAATTTGGAGAGGGTGTGGCCTGATTTGATTTGCCCAGGGTTTCTCTTCCCTAATTAAGGTCCCTCTCCTGCAGGTGGCTGTCTGCCCAGCCCAGCGCCATGCACACGCTTGTGTTCCTCAGCACACGGCAGGTGCTTCAGCGCCAGCCAGCTGCCTGCCAAGCCCTGCCCCTGCTGCCCCGGGAGCTCTTCCCCCTGCTGTTCAAGGTGGCCTTCATGGACAAGAAGACGGTTGTGCTGCGGGAGCTGGTGCACACATGGCCCTTCCCACTGCTGAGCTTCCAGCAGCTGCTGCAGGAGTGTGCCCACTGCAGCCGCACCCTGCTGCAGGAGTGTGCCCACTGCAGCCGCACCCTACTGCAGGAGCGGCTCAGCACAGAAAGCGTGCAGGCTGTGATCTTGGGGTTGACCGCCCGGCTTCACACTCCAGGAAGGGAGGCTGGCACGCAGCCCCTTTGCAGGTACGCATTTGTCTGAAGGGCCCACAGGCTAGGAGTACAGAGAAGATTCACTGGGTTGGCGCCAGGGTGGTCCTGAGGTGAGAAGGAGCGCAGGATCGCAGGGTGGGAATAGCCATATTTGTTGCTTTGGTACAGGCGGCTGGGAGGAAAGTAGGCCTTGCCCCCTCATTCCCTGCCTCGGGCCATCCTTGTTCCCAGGAAACAAGCATTGCGGGTACTGGATATGACTGGTCTTCTGGATGATGGCGTGGAACAGGATCCTGGAACCATGAGCATGTGGGACTGCACAGCCGCTGTCGCCAGAACGTGCATTGCCCAGCAGCAGGGCGGGACTGCTGAGCCAGGGCTGTCCCCGGTCTCCGTGGAAGTTCGTGTAGACCTTCGGGTGAACCGGGCTTCCTACACATTCCTTCGTGAGGCACTTCAAAGTAGTGTGGACAGCCCCCTGCGGCTCTGCTGCCGGGACCTCCGGGCTGAGGATCTGCCCATGCGCAACACTGTAGCCCTGCTGCAGCTTCTAGATGCGGGCTGTCTGCGCCGGATAGACCTGCGGTTCAATAACTTGGGCTTGCGAGGCCTGTCTGTCATTATCCCACACGTGGCCCGCTTTCAGCACCTAGCCAGCCTGAGGCTGCACTATGTGCATGGGGACTCGAGGCAGCCTTCTGTGGATGGTGAGGACAACTTTCGCTACTTTCTGGCGCAGATGGGCCGCTTTATCTGCCTTCGGGAGCTCAGCATGGGCTCCTCTCTCCTTTCAGGCCGGCTGGAACAGCTGCTCAGGTGAGTGGTCCCCACCATGGCTCTGTCCCCTCTTTGTATGAGGACTCCTTGGCCTACCCGCCCATGACCCTTCTGTAACCCCTTGTCGCTGCAGCACCCTGCAGAGCCCCCTGGAGAGCCTAGAGCTGTCCTTCTGCGCACTGCTGCCCGAGGACCTGCGCTTCTTGGCTCAGAGCCCTCATGCTGCCCACCTCAAGAAGCTGGATCTCAGTGGCAACGACTTGTCGGGCAACCAGTTGATCCCCTTCCAGGGTCTGCTGCAGGCCGCCGCAGCCACATTGCTGCATCTCGAGCTGACTGAGTGTCAGCTTGCAGATGCCCAGCTGTTGGCCACACTGCCCACCCTGACTCGATGTGCCAGTCTGCGCTACCTTGGTCTCTATGGCAACCCTTTGTCTATGGCTGGACTTAAAGAGCTGCTCCGTGACTCTGTGGTACAGGCCGAGCTGCGCACTGTGGTGCACCCCTTCCCTGTGGATTGCTATGAAGGCCTTCCTTGGCCACCACCCGTCTCTGTCCTTCTGGAAGCCTCCATCAATGAGGAGAAGTTTGCCCGTGTAGAAGCTGAGTTGCACCAGCTGCTGTTAGCTTCAGGCCGTGCCCATGTACTCTGGACCACTGACATCTACGGGCGCCTGGCTGCAGACTATTTCCGCCTGTGATCGCTAGGGTCTTGAGGGGCAGGTCAAGCCCTGTGAGACTCTGCTGGAGGCCTGACTCAGAGGCTTTCCTAGGCCACTGGCTGTACCTCCAGTCTCCATGCTTTGTATCTGCTCCCAGTAGCTGGCTGACTGTTGCTATCTCAGGACGGCACTCCCCTACTCCGAATACTCCCCTACTCCAAACGCCTGGGATGCTCCCTCTGCAGAAAACAGCAGTCCCTGGGCACATCCCGTACCCTTAAGAGTGCAGCGCACTGGGGTGGAGGTTAGGATGGTCGACTTCAGGTAGTAGTCTTGGGCCTTATGCTGCACATCCCACCTGGCATCTGAGGCACCCTATTACCTGGTCTGTAGAGTGTGAGCAAGGTACAAACGTTCAGTATCTGGAACTTGAATTCATTTTTTTGTTTGTTTTGTTTTTTTGGTGTGTGTGTGTGTGTCTGTCTTAATTGGATGGGAAAGACTTCCCTATGTTTCTGGTGTTGCCTCATCACAAGGTGCAAACTATTATCCAAGCAATTGCCCCATTTCCTCACTAGGTTATCCCACTATTCCGACGGTCCAGAGCCAGGGTGAGCCGCCAGAGTTGGCAGCTGGGGACACCTTATCCATGGCCCCTGACATTCACAGATCCATGATTCCCGACCTGACGACCCCAACACAGCGCTGTTGCGCGGCTTCAACTTTACTAATGAACAGGTGCGGGCTGCACCGGCCAATCCCCGGTGCCCACATCATTGACACGCGCGGCGGACTTAGCAATGGATCTCATAAGCGACACGTGGAGGGAGGCGTAGCCCAGACATGAGCCCTTCGGGAGGGTTTTGTTCCGGCGCCTCCTCAGGCGGTACCTCAGCGAACAGGGGCTTGGAACGGTCGATGACGAACATCTCGTGCCCGCGTTCATCTCGGAGTTCCTCGAGCTGCGCAAAGGTGCAAGGCCCGTCTGAATAGTCGTTGACGAACAGTGTGCCTTCCCCCGGCGGCGCAGGCACCTTTTTCCGCCGGCGTCGGCGTCGGCAGATCATGGCAGCCAACAAGAGCGCAGTGAGCGCCAGCAGCGCGATGGCTGCCGCGATCGCTGTCTGCGTTGCTAGGCCCAGGGCGCGGAAGGCCATGCTACCCGCCTCGTGCCGGGGCTCGTGTCCCACAGGGCGTGTAGCCGGGCCCTGCGGGGCGGGTGGCTGCTGTGACTGCTGCCGGGACGCGTTGACCAGGAGATGGAAGTGCACACGCGCTTTGCCGCCAGCATTGGCGGCCTCGCATTCGTACTTGCCGGCGTGAGCCAGTGTGATGTTGGTGAGGAAGAGCATGCCGCTGCCGGTGTCACGGGTCGCTTGCCCACCCAAGCCTGATGTCCCACCTTCCAGCTGGGCTTGGGCTTGAGGTTTGCCATCGCGAGGCTGGGGCACCTTTCTCCAGACCACCAGGGGCTGTGGGTATCCCGATGCCTGGCAGGCTACCTGCAGGTCCTCCCCCAGGTTAGCTGTGAGCTCAGGGGGCTCCACGTTCACAGAGGGAGGAATGCAGATGAGGCTGCCACCAGATACTTCTAGTAGACTCTGAAGCGCCAGGCGTGGGGGCTCTGCACATGTGATCTTCTTGTCTCTGGAGCTCAGCAGCCGGCGGCCCCCCTCTTTGATCCAAGAGCCCAGCCAGTGAAGGGCACAGTCACATCGCCATGGGTTCTCTGTGTAGGCAGAACACAGCCTAGGTAGAGAGATGGTTCTGCTGTGCAGACAGAAGCCCTTTTCCCCTCTTACAGATACCTATGGAGTCCCAGACCCTTACCATCTTCCCTCAGTCCAAGTTCCTGGGGGGGGGGGGTATGTGTGTGATCCCAGTTCCTGAAAGAGCATCCGCTTCTCTGATGTCCCATTGCAAGTCTCCACGTCCTTGCATATTCCAGCATCACTGAGACTCTGTTGTCAAGGCACTCCAGTTTCTGCCTGCCAGCTCTGATGAGAAGCTGCTCAGCTCTGTTAAGTTACTCTGTGGAACTGGTACTTGTCCTCCTTACCCGGGTACATGAGCTGGTACTCTACCAGCTCTCCCCGGTGGTCCCTTACCAAGGCTGAGGGCTCTGGTGTGACCCTGCAGAGGAGTGCTCAGGGTTGCCATAGTGAAGCAAGACACAAAGGGAGAATTACAGGGGCCCGGAAAGGGAGGCAAGTCTCCGTAGGATCTGGCTGAGCTCACCAGGTGAGATCACAGCACGATTAATCTTGGGTCGAAGATTGCCAACATAACAATATTCCTTTTAAATATAGGAGAATGTTAAAATGGCAGCAAGCCATACTTAAGGCCTAAGCATATATAAATATGATCTTCAGGAATGACCTTACTCCTTTTGTAGGTAATTTCTGGGGGAATCACAGGAAAGGCCACTCATCCAGTGCAGAGGAACCACCCTGTGATCTCACTTAAGTTTTGATTGTTTTCCAGACAGGGTTTCTCTGTGAAGCCCTGCCTGTCCTGGAACTCAATTTGTATATCAGAGCCTTGAACTCAGAGATCCTCTTGCCTCCATCTCCCGAGTGCTGGGACTAAAGGCTAGCGCCACCATACCCAACTCACTTAGGCTCTTTAACCATCCTTTGAGATGTAATTTCCGAAGCCATCAAAACCATATGTTAACGTCCCCTTTAATAAACTCCAACTCAGTCACATCTTGGCTTATTCTGAATTCTTTTCTGCAGTGAAGTTAAGAACCTGGTTCTGCCTGAGAACTCCCTGGGCTGGTGTGGCCACAGTGTGGAGTGTTCTCTGTTCCTAGCATAGGAACCTCCTGTATACCTGAGCCTGCTTCTCCCTACTGGTGCTAGAAGAGACCCTCGCCAAAGGAAGAGTTACCTGTGAGGCGCAGGACTTGTAGGCTGCTCAGAGGCTGCAAGGCCTCTCTGCTGATGGTGCCCAGTTGGTTCCTACTGAGGTCCAGCAGGGCCAAGGAGGAAAGCCCAGCCAGGGCCTGGTCCTCCAGTAACTCAATGCTGTTTTCTTGAAGATGCAGCTCCTGCAGTCGCTGAAGTAGGGACAGCAGATCGTCAGACAAAAGGGCCCTAGGAAGCTCGACAATATTGATTTCTCTCCCCCAACCACTCCCACCAGAAGTGCGTTTATTGACATCACAGCAAGATCCCGCACTTAGGGCAGTTGTCGCTCACCGGCAGGTGCAAGAAGGTGAAATCCAGCAGCTTCGCCAGCTGGTTTCCAGCCAGGTAAAGCACGCGTAGCTGGACCAAGCCCACAAATGCACCGCCTCGCAATCCCCGAAGCCGGTTGCCGGTGAGCGCCAGTTCAAGCAGGCGCGGCTGTGCACGGAAGGCACCCGATTCCAGCGCCCGCAGGGTATTGTTGTGCAGGTAGAGGTGGCGCAGGGCAGCGAGAGGCGCCAGGGCGCCTTGCTCCAGGTGCGCGATGCTGTTGTCTTGCAGAAACAGCGTCTGAAGGTTGTGGGGACGAGAGGATTACTTCACTGTGGGGCACGTCCCACTCCCGTGGCGTGTCCCATCCCACTTGCCTACCTCAGCACCCTAGTGACCTTCCACCTCACCTCTGAGGCTCACACAATCTTTTCCATTGCGGTGGGCACTTGTAACCCACTACTCCAATCCAAGACCCTCCAGTCCCACATAATGCCCACCTGCGTCCCTGGGGGGATTCCCGGTGGGACGACACGCAACCGTAGGGCGCCGCACTCCACAGTGGCGCTGTAGCAGCGGCAGGCAGCGGGACAGCCAGTGGCTCGGGGCGGGAATCCAGGTAGCAGCGGCAGCAACAGCAGTCCCAGCAGAAGCAGCACCGGGGGAGCCCCTAGGGTCATTTCCGACGAGCCCCACCAGGAAGCTGTGGCTTCCCCAAGGCCTGGACCCTGATGGGATGCGCCTCCTGAAACAGGTTAGCAGGCCAGTGCTAACATTATCCAGCCTGCGCATGAGCAGGAATGGAACGCCAGGCATGGTGGGTCATGCTCTTAATCGCAACATTGGGGAGGCTGAAGCAGCAGGATTGCTGTGAATTCAAGGTTAGGTCTAAGCAATATGTTCCAGGCCGGTCTGGCTGAACTGCGGTGAGACTTTGTCTCAAAATACAAAAGTAAGAAACAACCAATTAACGTGGATGGAAGTCTACATACAATCCTTGTGTAACTTTTGAAAAGTTACAAACAGCACTCAGGAGGCAGGGGAAGGCGGATCTCTCTGAGTTGAGGCCAGTGGATCAAGGCTCCATAGTGAGACTCTGTTTTTTAAAAAAAAGCCTAACTTCTTCTCTTGGTAAAATTTGTATGAGGGGCAGGCAAGATGGTTACACAAGTGAAGGCACTTGCCTGGCCAACCTGGTGGAAGACGAGAACTGACTCTACAAAGATCGCTTTTGACCTCCACTTCTGACCCACGCATGCAAACAATGTTTTTAAAAAGGAAAACAGAACAAACCGAGAATCCTTCCTTGACGGTCTCTGCCTAGCACAGCATTCCTCCTGCGCCTGCACTGTCCTGCTTGTCACTGGCACCACATGGGGCAGATGGTGGGCTCTCCTTGGTTCCCGGATGCAACAGTACATAATTTAGGCTTGGGAACTGCCCGGGTTCCCAAGTCCAGGGTCTAACTAAAAAGAACAGGCTCTGGGCAGACGTGCCCCCTTGGTCTCACTCAGTGGCTGCTGGCATAAAGTTCATCACTGAGCAGAAACCTCTGTGCCCCATCAGAAGAGCAAAGGTACCACACGACCTTGACCCAAATGACCCCACCTTAAGGTTCATTTGTCATGATTGGTGATGCTTGGTGCAGCCCGTGATCCTCCTGTTGTAGAGATGGGGGTGAGTGGAGAGCTTACTTAAGAGTTAGGATTTTCCCTCAGGTAACTCATATGGCTTATTTCCTTTTAAATAAATAGGGTCTAGTCTGTTTCTCTGGTTGGCCTGGAATTCATTATGTGGACCACAATGGCCTCCAAACCCAGAGTGCTGACATTAAAAGCCTGTGTCACTATGCCCAGCTTACTTCTAATTTTTTTTTTCAAATTTTTTTCATTTAAATTTACTTATTTTACATGTATGAGTGTTTTACCTGCAAGAATGTGTGTGCACCTCATAAGTGCTTGGTGCCCTCAAGATCCCCTGGAACTGGAGTTGGGATGGTTCTGAGCATGTATGTGCTGGGAATCAAATCTGGGTCTTCTGGAAGAGCAGCCAGTGCTCTTAAACCCCCCCCCCCCCCCAGACACAGGGTCTTTTATGGCCCTGACTGTCTTGGAACTCTATGTAAACCAGGCTGGCCTTGAACTCATAGAGATCCACCTGCTTCTGCCTCTCTAGTACTGGGATTAAAGAGCTTACCCACCACACCTGGCTGCTACTTCTAATTTTTCCCCCCTGGAGTCAGGGTTTCTCTG